AATACTCGAATTATTCGGGTTTGATTCCGAGCTCTAGTCTGGTATAAGAAGTCTTCAACGAAGCTCCAAGCACGAGGTCTCAAAACAAAAAGAGACCTCAAAGTTATATCCTCCCGCGTCATCTCGGGAGACCTGATGCAGTATTCTCTGTTTTCCAATACCGCTACCATGACGAAGTCCACCAGACGGAAAACCTTCCCCAACCGCCCGACTAAGAAGATAGAAGCCTCACCCCACCACCCAAGGGCGCTTCCAGGCCTTGCAGTTGTTCGTATTTGCAAATTCCTTGCTGTCTCTTGCTAAATGATGTTCAGTGCTTCACACAACGATACAATGTAAATTGTTACAATAAACATTTTTATTAGTTTGAGAGTGATATACTTACATTTGAAAGTTTTGCAAAACTACAGGAGTGGAAAATGTCTATAGAGATGCAAACCTTCGCCTCCTTCGTAAACATGCATGGTTTAGCGTTATCAGCGTGTAAATTGCAAGAAACTAAAGTATACATGCCATAGATCGGGTAATGTGAGAACAAGAGGAAATAATATTAGGGTATCTAAAACAAGATCTAACAACAAAGGAAGTAACAAAATGAATGCGTACTGTCCTGCTGAAATGGATGTTACAATTGAGGAGAGAAATCTAAAAAAAGGGGACTTTTGCTAATAATTATGACCGAAGGACAAAAGGAATTATTATTAAGGATTAATTTTATCACCTTTTTATTTAAATTTTTTATGCATTAAAATATTTGGGCACTATTATTTTTCTCTACTAATACAATTACTTTATTTCTTTTAAGTTTAGTGAGGATTGTATGTGTGGATATATATATTTATATTGAAATATTTACTCTTTTATATTTAATCGAGTTTTGCGATCTGTGGTTTGATAGCGAATACTTGATTGTGGTTTAAGTTCTTAGTTTGTGGCCTGTTCTTAGTTTGTCGCGTGTTGTTAGTTGGTGGTGGGTTCTCTACAAATTATTTTTTGATTAATAATCAAAATAAAGTGAATCATTTGATGGAAAATGTTCCATTAACTGCCAGTAAGTATATACAACCTAACATTATTTGTAAATACAGTTCCTGTATAATATTTTTAGGTGACATGACCGAAAAATAGAAAACCTCCAGGAACTCCAACTAAAAAGTTGTTTCGAAGTATTGAAGGGCTGAGCAATATAGAAAATTTCCAAAAAAGATAATTAAAATTAGTTCGCATAATCAACAGAAAAGAAAAGTGAAACGTTTATGCAAGAAGAGAGACAATGCCATTAAAGCTTTGGCAAGTTTATCATGCCATCATTGACCTCCAATTTTCTGTTGGCTAAAACTATATGCTCAAAAAGCAGAGTCGAAAGGAAGAAAATGGACTTTTGATGATAAAGTTATGGATCTTGCTATTTATAAGTCTTAAATGCTACCGAATGCTCCAAAAATGTGTATGACTACCTAGCAAAAGAACGCTTGCTTGAACAATGCTGGGAAAAGTTCCATTACATGTTGGGATTCACGAACATCTGTTTTCGCATATAAATGAATCGATTGAAGGTTCTGCCGGCAGATGTTGCGTTCTTCTGTTCGATGAGATGGATATTCAAGAGAACATTGAATATGATTTTGGCAGCGACAACATTCTCGGATTCGAAGATTTTGGTGGAAGAACATCTAGTAAACCCGCCAACAAAGGCTTATTGGTTATGCTAGCAGGGCTAGCAAAAAATTGGAAGCAACCCGTAGCACACTTATTTGCAAACAATGGGGGTAATGCGAACAATTTGGAACATTGCTTGTTTCAAGTTCTTAAAGCGGCGAAAAATCTTGCAAAAGTTTAGGTCGTAGATACAGTTTGTGATACGGGAGCATCCAATGTAAAATGCATGAAAAACTTGGGTGTTACTGTAGAGAGGCCTTTTTTCAAGCATGGTGACAATATCATCATTGCGATGTTTGACCCACCTCTTTTATTGAAATGTTATTTTTCTCTACTTCGAAAGTATAATGTTTTATTGAAGGCTAGTCAAAATAAAGCAGAGATGGAAGCTGGACTTGCTGATATCGCATTCGACATCGCATATGACATTCGCGGCCTATTTATATTCAATGGCCAGCGTTGTTTTTGCGTATATTTAATTAATTGGTCATTATCTTTTCTCTATAGGAGCTCTTGATCAAAGAGTGATAGCGAGAGCTACTTTTTTTTTAAACATATGGGCACACTTTTTGACAGCTTTAATGATAGGACCGCTGCTCCACATTTGGAGTATCAGAAAAATCACCACATTTGGAGTATTAGAAACAGGCTTTCGAAAAAGTTAAAACATGACAGTTTCAAAGACGAACAAAAGCTGGAGGCATTAAAGTATCCAAGCCGCCGTCTCAGGAAGGATGGCTAACGTCTTTAAATGCAGTGAGAGGTATATGGACCCATCTACACAAGACCAAAAATTTTCATTCTTTGCGCCCGAGGTCTTTGCAGCTATCGAAAACTGTTTTGGGTCTATTAAGATAAGATGCGGTTGTAGCGAGAACTCCACTGTGAAACAATTTATTTCCAGTTTAAAAACCCAAATACTAAACGGCCTAACAGGTCAGGCTCTAGATGCAAATTGCAAAAGTGATGAAAACCAGCTACTTTCGAATTTAAGATCATTTTTAGATAGAGATTAAATTAAATGCTACTGATAGCTTAGGTGGCTGGTTATATTTTGAAACGACTTGCAAAATGCAAAGATTGCGGATTGTACTCAGATGACTTATCGGCTAGTCACTTGGAGAGTCACAATATATTTATTTCATTTAGGGAATGGTCAGATTCTGAGCAAAGGCTGAATTACCCAAGCCAAAAATTTGCTGCTGCGGTTGGAAATGGGGTCACGCTACTTGAAACATTCCGTAATAACTTTGCATTTGAAACTAAGATCAGTAAAAGATGCAGACAAAATCTACGTAACGAATTAGACCTGTCGTTTCAATTCAAAAAGATTCAATTTCCAAAGCAGTAATCACGAGGATTATTAAAATTGGATTACCCTGGTGGTGCAAGAGGAGAAATCAGGAAAACGAAAGAGGAAGCTAAAACTTGAAAAATTTCGAAATACTTAATGTATTGCTAATATTTAATGACCCGTTTTACCGGGGTCGGACTGTATCTTCTATAATCCCTTATGGAATAATTTTCATGTTGCATGGCTTTACTTCTGTTCTTGTCAACTTGTTCATTATTTTCAATTTTTTCAAGGACGATTGGCAACTCAAACCCTGAGTAAAAGCGTTTCTAATGCTTAGCTTTTTTTGCATCCAAAATTTAAATATGCGGCAGCAAATCTTGTAAAAATGTTTAATATTTTCGACATTTTCAATTCCAGAAGTGTGCTGAGCAAATATTGCTATAAAAAAGCCTTGTCACTTGAAACTAAACAAGCATTTTTCCAAGCCGGATTCGGCCGGCGAGACATTTTTCTTAAATTCTTTACGTCTTTGCATCAGTGGAATTAATCCAAATATCGATGGATTAGTTTCCCAAATTCGAGCTCAAGTGTCTCATTGATTTCGGTGTATTTGACTTTCGTAGTTTGTAACAATTGCAAATTTAACGATTTAATTATAAGTACCATTTTTTTTTAATTTCATTTTGTTATTTTAA